CAAAATAATAGAATTATATATATATATATGTATGTAGGTATGTACACACACACACACACACACACGCGCGCGCGCGCGCGCGCGCACACACACAAAATATTGTGTGTGTGTAATAGTAGTAGTAGTAGTAGTAAATATAATATATATGTTCTTTTTTTCATATAAAAAATATTTTTCTAACTATCAAAAATTATTAATAAATATCATAAGTGCGTTAATAATAATATATTATTGGTATATTTAATATAATTATCTTACAAATCTTATATACTATAAGATAATTGTAAAAATAATATACTATAAGTTAATTGTAAAATAGCTATAATTCTTTTTCTATTTATAATTGATTTACAATTTAATTACGATATAATTCATTATACAATAAAATCTTTTAAATTAAAATATTTTTTCATTTATTTTTATAATGTAGAATATTTCTTGTATAGACCTTATCTTGAGTATTAGAAGGTGTTCGATGCATGAGCGCAAATTGCACATAGCAAGCCGCTGAACAGAAGCAAAGTTCATCGCCCGGTTCAGCTTCCTCTTTGCTCAAGAATGGTAGATCCGATACTTTTTTTCGAATTAAACTGTTAAGGATCACAACATCACAATGACGACAGAATTTTGCCGCACCATTTAGAATGCTTTGTATATCGATTGGAGCTGAAAGATCAATATATTTTTTTTAAATCTTGTTTTTATCTTATATATATATAATTAAAATTTCTGGATTTTATTGGATATTTTATTTATATATTTTAATCTGCCAATAACTACTTTTTTCATAAACTACTTTTTACAATTTTTCTTTTTCTTATATATTCTTATATAAATTTTATTCATAAATATTTTCCGAAATACTATACATATTATACATTACAAAATAAAATCATTCTATTAAATTACGTACTACCCTCTTTGCCGTCTTTCCCTTTTGTCCTGTACAGCCCTAATTTCTGACTAGGAGGAGTAGTGGTTCGTTCAACTATTTGATAACCAGCAGGTGGTGTTATGTTCAGAATATTAGCAAGATCTTTAAGTACACCCATTATATCATCGGCGGCCTGACTATTCAAAGTTAAGGTCACAGTGACATTTCCGCTTTCTCGTAAAGGAATCGGAGGGGACTTGCCAAGTCTAAAGAATTATATAGTATAATAATAAATATTCCATATATATATACATATAAATAATATATTAAGATATATTATGTACTGTGAATAAATAAAAATAAATATACATACTTGGGCATTCCAAAATTTTCCTTGTCTTGTTTAGCTGCATCTTTTAAGTAAGCAGGCTTTAGTCTGATTGGAATTGGTGAAACCAGAGGTATAACGGGTGACACACGTTTCAGCCATTCTGCTTCTTCATCCGATTCTTCCTCAATCAATCGCAGTCCAGGAAAACGGTGCATAAATTCTGGTATAACACATTCAGGTGAAGACGAACTCACAATGGTATCAGGAGAGTCCACATCGCGATTAGTTGTCATATTCTCTTTTTTATCATCAGCTACAAAAGAACATTTTTATGTAATGTTTTAGTTAAGAATTTAAGTACTTTATTATTTCTCCTATAAATGTATTAAGTTATATTTATATTATTTTTCGTACATTTTATATTATTTTATTATTTTTTTTACTATTTTATTATTATTTTTCTTCTGTTCTTCCATATTCTTATATTCTTATTATTTCTTCCCCTTCTTTTTCTTATTTCCCCTCTTCCACTTTTTTTCTTAATCTTATAAACTTTTTACAATTGAAATAATTAATAGTAAATTTGTTTATAATTTCATAATTATATCAATATTATAAAATATAAATATAATAAATAATTGCTCACTATCGTCCAACTTCAAAGGCGGAAATTCTTGATCATAAAATCCTCTCTGCGTAGTCGAGGGTTGTTGAGGTGGCAGAGGCTCTAATTCTCCAAATGGCTGTGTATTATAATGATCAGAAATTCCAGGTAAACTGGCTGATCCATAATTTCCAATCAAATCGCCAATTCTAGCGTTATAATCTTTCTGACTTCCAATCTTAACAAGATCTCCGCAACCGAAAATCGGGCACACCCCATAATTACGACTCAACTGAGGTTCCAGAACCGCCATCGGTTGAAGTTGTCGCAACTGGGTCATTAAATTATCCACAAATGTATCATAATCCTCATCGAGGCGCGAGACTTTACGGGAACGTTTTTTCTGAGGTGCAGTTATGGCATCCTTTCCCTGGCTTTGCTTTCTTTTCTGTTGGTATTGTCTCCTCTTCAACTTCTTAAGATCTAAAGCCAGACGCCATTGTTACAATTTGTTATTAATTTGATTTAAGGGGGTATATACGCCTAGAAACTTTAAAAAAAATCGATTGTGTTTTTTTCGCTTTCCTTGAAGGTTAAGGTCTCAAGAATACCTGGTTAAAGCCGCAAGTCGAAATTCGAAAAAATAACGAAGTTATAGCCTATACAGTGACGGGTATTCGGAATGCGCTGCGCGGTTGTCGAGTTGGCGCTGTGCGGTCGGGCGAAACTCAGGTCGGGTCTCGTTCCTAACAGGATTAGACCTGTTTTATTGTGTTGACAAAAGGCCAACAGAATTTGAAAGATTCAGGGATTATTGATGATCCCAATGATTTATATTATGGACCTGGCATCGATGATTCCATATAAGCTGAATAATTTTGCTAGGTAAGTTGAAAAATTTTAAAACGCATTTTTCTCGAAATCACTTTTTCAAAGTCGGTGGACACGATATCTCGAAAACTAATGAATCGATTGTAATGAAGTTTTTTTGTGCTTATTCTACACATAATTATCTAGTCTTTGACGTACGGATTTTTTTTTAGGTGGCTTCCTTTCTTTTTAATCGGCGAAATAAGATCGTATTTTTACCTAAAAATCGCTTTGTTATATTCAAATTGCCGCCATTTTGTCAAAAAGCCATATTTTCAAAATCGCATACGTCAAAGACTAAATTATAATACCAAGTTTAATATTCTTTTTGAATTTTTTGATTCTGATGATTACAGATGACACAGGCCTGTCTACCGCAGAACCACATTTTTTTGCTGCTCTTGGCGGATGTCTCATTTATTCAGCCATTCTATTGTATTTTCATGAATAAAAAAATTGAAATGTTCTCGAAAATGTACACAATCATTTGGGAAAAAAATTAATTGCATAACTCCTATAGATTTTCTTTAAAAAATTCCAGAAAATAGGCTTTTTTTCGACCGTCTAGGTGGGTATACCCCCTTAAAAATATATAAAATCTTAATATTAACATTTACAATCTTTGTAATATAATTTAATTTTATGTAAGAAATAAATAGGATATAACACGATATATGTAATAAAAGAAGTATATATTATACACATTTCTTTCTAATATAAAATAATAGAAGCATAGATATAAATAAACATAAAAAATAAAGAATAGTAGTTAAAACAAAATAATATGATACATAAATGTTACTTACCAGTTTTATCATCCATTGCGCCATCTATGAGTTCCTCTTTGGTAGTGAGAAATTCTTTGGTATCCGTCTGCAACTGACTGGCTGATGTTGTGGCAACAGTGGACAAAACATCCTCAAGACCAATTTCTTTCTTAATCTCGACTAAAGGCACTGTATTGGAACCTGATGGGGTAACGGACCCCATAACGGTTTGTGGTGGAACCGCGACGGTTCCATGACTATGAGGCACTTGTTGCTGAACAGATTGTTGTTGAACGGAAGTAGTCGAAGAAGAAGGAACTTGTTGTTGTGTCACTGTTGGCTTCTGCACGACTGGAGCTTGGTTTTGAGACTGTGTTTGGACTTGAATTTGTGATCCAGATACGTTATTAGAGTTACTGGTCACTAATTGGACGCTCTTCGAGGCTATTCCAGAGGTTGCCACTGGTTTATTTTGCAAAGCATGTTTAGAAACAGTAACGCGTTGTTGGGTTTGAAGTCCTTCTCCGCTCACGCCAGTACTCAGTTTGCTTTGACTTACAGAAACCTCTTGCAAATTCGTAGAAATATTCGGAGACGTTTTTGTTGTTGTTATTGTTGTTGAAGAAACTGGTTGAGTTGATATAGAATTTCCCGAAGAACTTGCTGAAGAAATAGGAACTGACTTTGTTGTTTGCTGCTTCAAGTTTTCAGTTTGTGCTCTTTGTGTCACAATCGGACTAGGTAATGGAAGAGGAGGTTTCGCAGATTCCTCTTTAGTTGGTGAACTTTGAATCTTTAAGGGTGTTACTGATAAAAAAGAAGTTTCCCTCGCAAGAACTTGTTTTATTACTGGCTTCGGTGTTGGGGTTTCGTTCAGTAACTGAGGAAGCAAAGAAGGTGGCGTAGGTAAGACTGGCCGAGCCAGTTGCGCTTCTAGTGAAGGAACTATTGGCAGACTGGGTCCTTGTGACGATCCTGAAGTCGTAGGACATGCCGTATTTTGCAGTAGTTGCTTTAACAATACATTTTGAGAATCCTCTAATCTTAAAGAATTAGAAGAACTTTTACTGGAATCTATTTCTTTTTTTTCTTGTATTTTAGACTCTTCAGGATCTTTTTTCACTGTTGTAGATGGATTTTCAAGATCGTTATTTTTCTCTACTGGTAGAAGACCAGAAGATTTAAATTGGTTTTGATTAGAGGTTAAAAGGGGACTTGGAGCTTGCGATAAAGTCGATTGAAGAATACTAGACGTACTTGAAACACCACTAGAAGTTGCCAAAGGTGGCACAATAGTTCTAATACATTGCATTGAGCTAGTTACGGCTGAATTAGTATTTACTAATACTCGAGAGGGTGTAGAACATCCTGAATTGGCTTGGAGGATTGCTTGAAGATTTTGCGAGCGTTGTATTGAAGTCGAAGGTAAAACAGAACTCAAAAGATTGACTGCAGATTGAGTTGGTATTGTGTTACTTCGACCATGACCAGCAATTGAAGATTTTAAGGAAGTCCCCGCCAGCATGGCATTCAACATGACATTTGAAGTGATGGAGATCGAAGTTGTAATGCTTTTAGAAGTACTTGCAGCCGAAGAAGTACTTGAAAGATTAGAAACTGTAGTAGTCTGAAAAGTTGTCGCTGAAGAAGTCATCCTGAGGATCTGCTCGCTATTATTAACTTTTGAACCTGTAGTAACTCCGCTACATTCCTTTAATTCTTTTTTCTCTTTTATAACCATTTCTGTATCTTTCAAAATATTGCTGATCAGATTAGGTTGAAAACGACCTTGATCTAATCTTGTCAAAGTCGAAACTCCACTCTGAACATTATTTGATGAATTCAATGTCGACAAGGGACTAGAGGTAGATAAAACATTTCCAGATTTCATTGAAGAAACCATGGTGACCACTCCGGTTTGATTCACTGTTGTTTGATTGCTTTGTAAAGATGATAGCAATGTTCTCAGTTGATGGGATACGTTAGCTACATTAGAAGTCAATTCTGTTGGCTTCGAAAGTGGTGATAAATGAGGAATTGTTGTTGTGCTTTTTTGCAATTGTGCCACGGTACTAACTATCAAAGTGGAAGCTTGACTCATTGCTGGAGAACTCTTTTTTACTTCAGCATTTTGAGATTTTACTTCATTTTTAGGTTCAGATGAAGAAATTTGATCATTTTCGAGATTTTCTTGCTCTAAATCCATTAAAGAGTCTTGAAGAATATTTAAGGGTAAAGTATCTAACGGAGTTGGCATTTGATAAATAATACTCGACTCACTACTATTTGCCATTTCCGGTTTTGATGAAATAATATTTTGTAACATATCTAAAATATCATCAGATGATTCCTCTATTAATGCCTTTTCTTCATTCAAACAATGTTGAAGAAATGGTTTGGAAGTTTCCGTACACTGTTCTTCCTGATGATTCTTTTTATTTGTGTTTTTGTCATTAGTCTCTTCAATGTTTTTTTGGATTTCTTCTGATTTATTTGTTACTTTTTGCATATCAGAATCTGAAGAAATTTGTTCTTTATCATTTTCTACCGGTTCAGTATCATTTTCCAAAATGTTAACGAGCGACAAATCATCGGTAACAGGTGACATTCTTTTCAGAGTCGTCGTTGGAATATCATTTTTATTTTCAACATTTTCTGCAGGATTATGAATAGCTTCTAACATACTCTCCAGTTCATCCGTAGTATTTAATGGATCAGTTTTCTTCTCTTCAATCGATTCAGAAAAAATATTTGACGATGTATTCAAAGAATTATTTTCATCTATAATTTTGTCCTGGATCTCTTTCTCTCCTTTCATTTCACTTTCTTGATTTTCTGTTAATTTTTCTTTACTCTTTAAGATAGTATCCTTTTTCGACAAATCTGGAATTGACATTTTCGGAGTCGAGAGCGTCACAGAAGTTGATTGTACACTTAATACTAATTTCGTGGGATTGTTCAGAGATTCTGTATTTGGCAAACTCGAAAAGGTTGTTAAAGGCTTCTCTGAGAATAATATTTTCGGTATTTCATTAGCAGAGATGATTTTCGGGTTCAATTTATCTTGCTGAGAATTGGATATTTTTTCCAGAGCAGTTTGACTAAGTTTCGCGGCAATTTTTGCATCTGCCACAATGCTCGCCATCGCTGACAATGTAATACCTTTCTGATTGGTAGAACAACTCGAGGAAACTTCTTTTAAATCAAAATGATCTACCATTTTAGTTTCTGTCACAATTGGTTGAATTGAAACCTGAGTCAGTTGAGAATTAGAACTAGTAGAAATTAAACTGGAAATTAAATTTGAAGAAATTGTAGTATTTATTAAAGAAACCATCGATTTTGAGACTGTTACGTTAATATTAGGTGGGTATATAGTTGAAGCTGGCGTTTTGGTATACGATTTATCTGAAAAGATAAAGTTTGTAGGACTCTTGTTTTGTTTTGAAGATTTGTTTTGATCATCTATCGAGCCTTCATTAAATGTATTTTCTTTAGAAACATCAGTTTGTATATTATTATCAGTTTTTTCAATTTCTTCATCGCAAGAACCCTTAGAAAGATTGTCTTCAGGCGATTTCGTTGTGGGATCGATGATAACCACTTCAGAATCACTTACTAAAGATACCATAAGTTCTTGATCAGGAGACTGATCTAAATAAGGACCTGGTGAAGGATCAACTCGAAGTTCTTCTTGATCTGGTGATTCAGGAGTATCAGTTACAGCGACTAGCTTTTTTCCGGACTGGAAGGCCCTCACTATATCGAGTCTAAGACCCTTTTTATTTCTTGAATGAGACGGGACTAAATCTTCGTCACTCAAAATAGGTTCTTCTGATTGTGATTCAGAATTATCAATCTCTAAAATCTGCACTAAGTCATGACCTTGACCAGCATCATTCACTAAAGCATGACAAAGAGAATCGTTACTATCAGCAGAAAGATCCACCACCATTCCAGGTTCGAATAAAACATATTCTTCCTGCATATCACCTTCTAAAGTTCCTGAAATAACATCAACTAGTTCTGAGTCACCGAACTGTTCAATCACGGTGATATCATCACTGTCTCGTTGAGCTGTGGAACTCAAAGTCACTTCGGTATTAACTATAGTTTTGTCATCATCATAATCTGTCGTATCTGGAAGTTGTTCCAATTTTTCTCCAGGACTTTCTAAAGTTAAAGATCCATTATCTAAAGTTGAAGAGGTCAATGAAGAGCCCTGACCAGTTGATTTTATGTCTAAAGTTGTGGGCGAAGCTTGTGGCGGCGTATGAGAATCGTCGTCAAAGTCATTATAGTCGACACAGACTAGTGAGCTGATTCTAGCGGTTTTTCGATTCATGGAAGCATTTGCTTTCTCTTCTGTAGATTGATCTCTTTTCGTTTGGGATGTTTCCGATCCTTTACCACCTTTACTACTATCAGCTTTGCTTGACCACATTGGCGATCCTCCTCTTAAACCCAATTTGAACCATCCAAATCGTCCAAAATTGGGGAATCGTATTGGTTTTATAGATTTATTACTATTTTCCTCATTTTTAGAAGAATTTTCTGATAAAAGAACTTGTTCTTGAGAAATTTGTTGATAAATCTGATCCCGATCATCTGATGAGCCGCCCTTTAATCCTAATTTAAAATATCCAGTGTTCGCAAAATCAAGAAAAGGAATAGGATTTAAGGGATTATTAGAGTTTCCTCCACCTCTAGAAAGATTATCTGATAAAGAAGTTTGTTCCTGAGAAACCTGTTGAGGAATTTGCTGAGAAACTTGTTGTTGATCACTTGCAGTTACAGTTAAATTAGTATTTTGTTGGACAAAATTATGAGGTGTATGAGGTGTCCTTGGAGTTCCAGGATTTTCCACACTTTGGGGTCTGTCTGGCATAGCGGGACTATTCCCAGTAGACTGTCTTCGCTGCATTTGCATAGGAGATCCAGCTACCATAGGACTTCTAGGCATCATAGGAGAGCTGGGTGGTTGAGTAGTTGTCGAAGAATGATGATGACTACCATGAAGCATTGGTGAAATCCTATTCATTGGACTAGGAGGTTGTGAAGTCGGATTTAATTGCTGTTGAAGCATCGGAGAACCCATCGTTGTCTGTTGCACCATAGGTGAATTTGGAGGTTGACCATAATTTTGAAGTTGCTGATGAAGCTGTGGACTGGGGGAATTTGATGGCTGAGACACCATCGGCGAGTTAGGCGGTTTCTGCTGCTGTTGTTGCATTTGCAAGAATTGTCTTTGCTGTTGTTGTTGGAGAATATGCTGTCGTTGCTGAGCCATTTGGAGTGATCTTGGACCAATAGAACTCTGCCCTTCTTGAGAAACACCTTCATGTTGTTGTTGATGAAGAATTTGTTGACGTTGCTGAGCCATTTGAAGTGATCTTTGAACAATAGAAGTCTGTCCTTCTTGAGAAATAACCTCATGTTGCTGTTGATGAAGAATCTGTTGTCGTTGAACCATTTGCAAAGGTCTTTGAGTAATAGCATTTTGTCCTTCTTGAGGAACAGATTGAGAAACACCTTCATGTTGCTGTAAAATTTGTGGTCGTTGTTGAGCTAATTGTAATGATCTTTGAGTAATAGCGCCATCTTGAGAAACATCTTCATGTTGATGCTGTTGATGAAGAATTTGCTGTTGACGCTGTTGAGCTATTTGTAAATTTCTTTGAGCAACAGTATTCTGCCCATCTTGAGAAAGGCTTTCATGTTGCTGATGTTGTTGAAGGATTTGACGCTGCTGTGCCAGCTGTATTGACCTTTGAACAACATTTTGTCCAATTTCTTGAGAAATATTCTGTGAAACACTTTCATGCTGCTGTCGTTGTTGCGCTATTTGCAAATGTCTTTGAACAGTAATATTTTGCCCATCTTGAGAAGTACCTTCCTGTTGCTGCTGTTGTTGTTGTTGAAGAATCTGCTGCCGTTGTTGAATCATTTGTAGCGTTCTAGGAATAGAATTTTGAGGAATTTGTTCTTCTTGAGAAATACTTTGAGAAACAACTTCATGTTGTTGTCGAAGAATTTGTTGTTGTTGCTGAAGAATTTGTTGTCGCTGCTGCACCATCTGTAAGTTTCTTTGAGCAGCAACGACATTATGACTTTCTTGAGGAATATCATTCTGTTGTTGCTGCTGCTGAAGAATTTGTTGTCGTTGCTGTTGTGAAACTACTTGCAACGATCTTTGATTAATAGAACTCTGTCCTTCCTGAGAAACATCTTCGGTTTGTTGTTGCTGAAGAATTTGTTGTTGTTGAAGAATTTGCTGTCGTTGCTGAGTTATTTGCAACGATCTTTGAGTAACGACATTTTGTTCCTGAGAAATGCCTTCTTGTTGCTGCTGCTGAATAATTTGTTGCCGGGTCGTTTGTAAATTTCTTTGAACAACATTCTGTCCTTCTTGAGAAATGATATCAGTCTGTTGCTGTTGAAGAATTTGTCTTTGTTGAACCATTTGTAAATTTCTTTGAGTGATAAGGTTCTGTCCATCCTGAGAAATATCATTCTGTTGTTGCTGTTGAAGAATTTGTTGTCGAGAAACACCTTCATGATGTTGTTGTTGTTGTTGGAAAACTTGCTGCCGCTGCAATGTCGCCCGAATAATAGTATTTTGACTTGGATCCTGAGAAACGCCTTCATGCTGAATAATCTGCTGCCTCTGTAACAGCTGATGCTGTTGTTGATTCAGTAACTGTTGCTGTCCTGACTGTGGATTGTAAACAATACCTCCTCTCCTCTGCGCCCCTTCTGGTGGTCTAACAAATCTCTGAGTTAAACTATGAACTCTCACACCCTGATCAGCTATCAATTGTTGATTTCGCGTCTCCGGCGTAAAAGCACCAGGAGAAGTTGCCAATCTTCCGCCAATAATGGCTCTATGTTGTGGTGAAGTCATTCGTGTAGTGTTGGGATTGCATAGACCCGGAGAAGGCATTGGCCCAGGACTGAAGGGACTTTCGTCACCTTGAGAATGAGGGGTGCCAATTCTTGGTGATTGTTGCTGAACATTATGCGGTGACATTGTACCTGGATTAGACGATTGAGGGTTGCCTGGACTATGTTGAAGCAGCGGTGTGCCTGGACTATGTTGAACAATTGATGGAGTTGCTGGTGAATGTTGAATCATGCTAGGACCAGGACTCTGAGAAACCAACGCAGCTGGAGAATGCATCGGAGAATGCTGAGAAGGTGACATCAATGGAGAACAAGGTTCGTTTGGTTGGGGTTGAGTTTGTCGTTGTTGTTGTTGTTTGTTATGATACTCTTGAATCAGTCCACTGTGTTGACGCTGTTGCTTACGAGAAGTTTCTAAATGTTTCTGAAGAATAGCTTGCTCAGAAGAAATCCGTTGTAGTTCAGTAGCATCGGTCTCTGTCAGTTCGTTACCAGATTTACGAAGCTGACGTTGCTTACTATTGAGAGACTGGAAGGAAATAAGATAGAGAAACATGAAAAGTATGAAAATGTAGGACAAACTAAAATTTAGGAATTAATATTAAGATTAAAATCTATTAATATATATTGTAAAGATATTTTAGTAAACAATATTATAATATTTAATTTTAATTAATATAATACTAATTTATTTTTATTTACCTTTCTTATTTTCCGAAGTTTTTGGACCTCTGCCTCATAATATTTTAATTGTTGCGTTAATATTTGATGCTGATTATTAAGCCATTGCTCATAATTCGCATGACTTTGCCGATCTTGCTCATTAGCTATATTTTCTGGTGGAGCCGGTGGTTGCGGTTTTTGAGGAATGTTAAACATAGCCACTCTTGCTAAAAATTAATGCAAAAATATAATCATATATAATAAATTAAAT